GAAGACATTCAAAATATAAACTTACTATTTTAAATGAAGATGTTGATGTCACATGTTTACCAACGGGTTATAGTACTAGAGTTCCCCCTTTACTAGAACTTTGTGACGATTATTACAAAATATTGGATAATGATAGTGGTGGTACGGTGTTAATATATGGCCATGGTTATCATTGGCATTGCTATAGTCAAATGGAGTATAGTTGTCGACACTGTGAATAGTATTATAAAAATGGAATATATAAAAATGTTAATTCATTGTTAGAAAGACTTGAAAAAGACGCCGATACATTTTCTGAAAATGATGGAATTGAAGAAGAATTACAAGATTTAGATGAAGAATTAGAAGGTTTTGAGCATGAAAATATTCAAGAAAAAGATGTAAATTTGCAAAATGCGATAGATAATATAAATAAATGGTAATAAAGAAAAATAAAATAAAAATATTATACAAAAAAATATATTTCTGTTATATTTACACGTATAAGCAAACTATCTTTAAATACTTGATCTAACTTGATCTGAAAGTTTTAAACAGTCCGTTAGGATATGAAAAATATATTATTTAAAAAAATTTTTTTTTTGTAACGAGAAATAAAATTTTTATATTGTATCAATTTTGTATTACCATTACTAATAAATTTATATGATACGATATGTATTAGCCAAACATGTTCGATTTGTTCTATTTTATGATCAACCAATAAACATAAACTTCCATCATGCTACCTTTTACTCAACTTTATCATATTTGGTTGCATAGAAAGAATATTACAAATGTACAGATGTATCATGAGTTAATTGATTGAATTTAGAATAATTAGGTATGGGAAGAGTAGATTTGAGGAATGTGGAACTGGAGTAATGTAAGTCCATAGGTATTTACCATGTAAACATGCATAGCGAAAAAACTTTTCACAAAAAAAATGCATGTGACATGAGTTGGTTAATCAGAATTAGAATTTATAGTAACAATCAGATCGTATGATTACATGCATGAGGTAATTAATCGAATTTGGTTAATCACACAAATAAACATGCATATTACATTATATATTAGTCAGGTGGTACACATCAAAATTCTAAAAATAATTTTGTTGCACAGTCACATTAATGATTTTCTGTACTGATTATGTATAATATTCTGTATGGATTCCATATTAGTATCAATTCAGTACCATTTCCGTATGATTTCAGTATAGGAAAGTATCCACTTTCCATACATATTTCATACTTTTTGTATACATGGTTATTATCCCAAATTCTGTAGGTTACATACGTTATAAAATGTATGTATTCAGTACCTTTTATAAGTATTTATTTTCATAGGGAATGTATCATTTGATATTAGAATATCTGTTTAAGAAATTTTCAGGTTTGTGTCTAACCATTTTTTTTTATAACTAGACAAATTGGACATTTGTATGAGAATTCATTACTATTTATTATTTTGCTGAAAGATTAAAAAAAAAATAGATCAATATTGTAATAATAATAAGATTATTTTCCTTCTAAGGATTTCTGCTTTTTGTTAGGTAATAGCATATCATTCTGCTTTCTTTTCTTAACATTTATTATTTTTTTTTCTTCTTGATAAATTTCATAGGTGATTTTAAGTGTTTGAGTATCATTTATTTTGAAAATATAAGTAGCAATTTTCTCCCCTTGTTCTTTCTTCAAAATACTTCTAATGGTGCTATAATTCTTAAGTTCTATAGTAGATTTGATGTAAATGAGTTTCATATTAACTATTTTTATATAGGGATAATTCTATATATCACAAATGGATATTATAAAACTG